TAGTTCAACCTCTCCTTTGCCTAATTCTCGCTTGCCTAGCTAGGTAAACCCTAGCTATGGCTCCTTACTCTCGCTATTATTCTGACATCTTCCGCGACCACACGACCCTCACGCCACTCCTCACTCCTGTTTCGGTAGCTCTGGCTGATCCTACCTCAGGACCAGCCGTTGCGCGTAGCTCCACTACCCTCCCGTCTCTTGTGGTCCCCTCTGGTGTCCTGCGCGGCCTCCACATCCCCTCGTTCACTCGGAACTTGGTGGGTGTTGGTTACCTCCAGGACAGGGGGATCACGGTTACCTTTGTGGGGGGTGGGAGGACTGCGGTCTGTACAGACGCTGCCACAGGTGCTGTTCTGGCCACGTTCACCAGGGAGCCCCGCTCCGGTCTCTACGTTCTCCACACCGAGCGCTCCCCGGTTGCGTCCTCCGTTCAGGTCGTTGCGTCCCCTCCAGTCCAGGTGTCCAGTCCGGTTGCTGTGTCTAGCCAAGTGGTCGTGCCTGGTCCAGTTGTAGTGTCTAGTCCGGTCGCAGTGTCCTGTGCGGATGCTGCGTCTTGCTCCTGTCGCTCCCTCACCCACCGGACCGTCTTGTGGCACCACCGCCTTGGTCACCCGTCGATCCCTCGCCTCCGCGGCATGACCAGCCAGGGGCTTGTCACAGGTCTCCCACGCACCTTTCCGTCGCTCCCTACCTCACTTGCTCCCCCTTGCACTCCTTGCGTCGCCGGTCGCTTACGCGCCACTCCTCACTCCTCCTCCCTTTGTCCGGCCACTGCTCCCTTCGAGACTCTCCACTAGGACGTCTGGGGCCCTGCCCCGACGCAGGGATCTGGGAGGGAGCGTCACTTTCTGGTGGTCGTCGACGACTTCTCCAGGTACACCACAGTGTTTCCTCTCGCGAAGAAGTCCGAGGTGACTGCTACGCTGATCCGGTGGCTTCTGGCCACAAAGGGCACTCGTGGTCGTCGTGTCAGTTGTCTACACTCCGACCGTGGGGGCGAGTTTTGCTCCGGCATTCTTGGCGGATTCTGCGGCGAACAGGGCATCGTACAGTCCTGGACGCTTCCGGAGTCCCCACAGCAGAATGGGGTTGCTGAGCGCCGCATTGGCTTGATCATGGACATTGCTCGCACGTCCATGATCCATGCCCGTGCGCCCCATTTTTTGTGGCCCTACGCGGTTCGCTACGCCACACACCAGCTGAACCTCCAGCCGCGCGTCTCGCGGCCCGAGGCTTCACCGACCAGTCTTTGGACCGGGTCCCCTGGTGTTGGTCCGGCCTTTCGTGTCTGGGGCTGCCTTGCGCTTGTTCGCGACACCTCCGCGGACAAGCTCTCGGCACGCGCCGTCCCCTGTGTCTTCCTTGGTTTCCCGGTGGACTCTGCCGACTGGTCCTTTTACCACCCTCCCCTCCACCAGCTCCTAGACTCCCGTGACGTCCGGTTTGACGAGTCCGTGTCCTACTACACCCGGTACCCGTGTCCCACGCTACCCCTCTACCCTCGCTCGCGCGTCACGTATCGTCTCCCTCCCCGCAGTCCTCCTCACAGTCCCCTCAGCAGCCGCGACAGGTTACTGTGGACTCGGTTGGTGTTGGAGCTGGAGATGCAGCCGCTGGCGGTGCTCGGTCTGGGGGTGCTGGAGCTGGAGGTGCTGGCGCAGGTGGCGCTAGCTCTGGGGGTACTGGAGTTGGGGGTCCTGGCACTGGCGGTGCTAGTTCTGGGGGTGCTGGAGCTGGAGGTGCTGGCACAGGAGGTGCTAGTTCTGGGGGTGCTGGAGCTGGAGGTGCTGGCACAGGAGGTGCTGGTTCTGGGGGTGTTGGTGCTGGAGGCGCTGGCACTGGAGGTGCTGGTTCTGAGGAGACTGGAGCTGGAGACACTGGTTCTGCGGAGTCCACTCCACCTCCCCACCGCCACGACACGCGTCTCCAGGCGGCCCGTCGGCGTGAGCGTGAGGAGCAGGTGCTGTTGGAGAGGGAGCGGCAGGAGTTGCGGCAGTTGGACCTGCTGGAGCAGCAGCAGCAGCAGCAGCCGCAGCAGCAGACACCGCCACCACAGCCACGACCACCGCAGCTCCCTCTCGAGCGGCAGTTGTTCCCACCCGTGAGTGGCCTTCGGGCCCTTGGTCTTCCCTCCTCTCCTCCTGTTCACACTCCGTCCCCTCCATCGTTTGGTCCCACGTTTTCTCCTCCTGATGATAGTCCGGCGGTCTGGTCTTCTCCTCCACCGCAGTCTTCTCCACCAGTTGTCCCGCACTCTCGTGTCCGTCCCTGTCCTCCGCGTGCTCGTCACTCGTCTCCCGTTACCGACCTCCGCACTGCCCTCCTTTGTTCGTCTCTTCGTCGTCCTCCTCCTGAGTCCATTCTCCCGTCTCCTCCTCCGTCCTCTTTCCCTTTCCCCCCTACTCCCATCACTGACTACTACCACGCTGTTCGTCCTGTTGTCTCCAGTGTCCTCGCCACTCTTGTCACCGACTCTCGTTTCCCTCCGTCGTCTGTCTCGGCTCTCATTGCCGCTGTCGCTGAGTTTGCTGCCGCCAGTCGCCTTGACTACTCCACCCGTGTGGTGCCAGCTCCTCACTCCCGTCCTCTGTCCGTCGGGGGTGAGTTTGCTCTTGGCTGTGACGTCCTAGAGGACAGAGAGTCTGAGCTGGAACAATGGGCAGCCGCTTCTCCCTCTGTCTGTGCCATGCTGCTATCCCCTGAGGGAGACCCCGACGCCCTTGACATACCGACACCTCGCACTTACCGCGAGGCAGTGTCAGGGGCGTGGGCCTCTCAGTGGAAAGCGGCTATGGCCTTGGAGTTAGCTTCTTGGAGATCCACAGTCACCTACGTCAACGCAGTTTCCCCTCGCAGGGCGAACGTAGTCGATGGCATGTGGCTCTTCAAGGTGAAGCGGCCGCCTGGTTCACCGCCTGTGTTCAAGGCGCGCTACGTGGCTAGGGGTTTCAGTCAGCGTGAGGGAGTTGACTTCTTCCAGACCTGCGCCTCGACCCCGAAGATGACTACTCTTCGGGTGTTACTGCACGTAGCAGCACAGCGAGACTACGAGCTGCACTCCCTTGACTTCTCCACTGCGTTTCTCCAGGGCCGACTACACGAGGAGATATGGCTGCGCCGCCCTCCTGGATTCACTGACACCTTCCCACCTGGGACCCAGTGGAGCCTGAGGCGGCCAGTCTACAGTCTCCGCCAGTCGCCCCGTGAGTGGCACGACACTCTTCGCTCCACGCTTCGTGATCTTGGGTTTCGTCCTTCCTCTGCCGACCCGTCGCTGTTTGTTCGCACTGGTTCCACTCCTTTCTTGATACTAGTGTACGTCGACGACTTGGTCTTTGCCACAGAAGACATGGCAGCTCTGGCTCAGGTGAAGTCCGAACTGCAGAAGAGACACAAGTGCACTGACCTAGGTGAACTGCAGCGCTACCTTGGCCTGCAGATCACCAGGGACAGAGCCACTCGCACCATCACACTGACTCAGTCACACATGGTGCAGCAGGTCCTTCGGCGGTTCGAGTTTCAGTTCTCCACCACACAGCCCACTCCTCTTGCTGTTGACCACCGACTCACTGGCCCCTTTCCTGACGAGCCCTTTGAGTCTAGTGGTCCCTACGCAGAGCTGGTGGGCTGCCTCATGTACTTGATGACTTGTACTCGGCCGGACCTCGCCTTTCCCCTCAGCGTCCTCTCTCGCTTTGTTGCGACTGGGAGACACCGTCCTGTCCACTGGACAGCTACTGTGAGGGTGGCAAAGTACCTGGCGACTACATCAGGCATGGGGCTTGTGCTTGGAGGGACTCAGCCAGTGGTGTTGACTGGTCACTGCGACTCTTCCTACGCTGACGACTTGGAGACTCAGCGCTCGACGCAGGGTTACTGTTTCAGCCTGGGTGCTGGTGCTGTGTCGTGGAGGTCTACACGGTCGTCGTCTGTGGCTTCTTCCAGTGCAGAGGCAGAGATCTACGCTGGTGCCATGGCGGCACTGGAGCTTCGCTGGTTGACCTTCTTGCTCGCCGACCTTGGTGAGCGGCCTCGCTCTGCGCCGACCTTGTACGCTGACAACAAGGCCATGATCCTCCTGTGTCGAGAGCCTCGACTGGAGAGCAGAGTGAAGCATATTGACGTAAGGTACTTCCTCCTGCGAGAGTTGCAGCGACGTGGCCAGACACGCTTGGACTTTGTGGCCTCAGAGGCCAACACTGCCGACGTCTTCACCAAGGCCTTGGCGCCTGGTGACCACCACAGGTTCTGTGTGCAGTTGGGGCTTGTTGAGGTAGGCCCTCGGTTGCTGTAGACTTGCTGTTTGCCCTGCTTGTTGTGTTTTACTATTTATATCCTAGTGAACTCTTGAACTGGCCTTGTGGCCGCTTGCTTGTGCTCGGAATTTATGTGGTGTCCTTGAGATCCACCCTGAGCTTGCTTTGCTACTTGTCTTGACTGGTCTTGTGACCGTTTGTTCACCCTGCTTGTTCTGATGCCCCTCACTTAGCCTATGGGGGTGTGTCAAATGTTGATATTTGTGATAGGCTGTAGTGAGTTACTCCTTAGAGAGTATAACACAGTTAGGGTTGCTTATTTGTACTGCCTTGTTTCCTAAACCAATCATTCCGTTGCATTCTAACTTTGAGAAAGCCCAGTCTATTTGTGGTAACTCAGGAGGAAGGACTCCCTCCCTGCCCTTGCAACAAAGGTGCCTCAACAAGGAGGTTCCGATTCTGTTGTGTCACTCTCAACACCCTCACAGAGAGCAGAAAGCCAAACATCAAGCATGGCTAGTGTGATTGGCCACGAGTAATGGGTGCTGTCGATGCACATGTCATCTCTAGGAAGGGTTAACGCTTGAAGGTCGACGAAATGCCCAAACTTGGTCTCATCAGACACCCTGAAGACAGAATGGCAGCCACACAGCAGGATGAAAGCACATTCAGGCCTTAACAAAGGAGCATAAACACCTTAGTCTCGTTAGTTGTAAGTCTTGTTAGTTGTGAAGTCCTACTCACCTGGCTACATTGTCATCGAATGTGAACCCTCTGACGTTGTTGCTCTTGTGGAGAAATCTCTGCGCCTTATTCTTCTCTTGCGCTGCCCAGATTCCAAAAAAGGTGACCCTGTCCGGATCGCGAACCACTGACCGGAGTGAAGGCAGAAACACCGACTCTGCAGCATTGGGAGGGACAGGTTGGGCATAAGAGCTAATTATACGGCCGTGCTTGAAGTGTGGTAATTGCGACAAAGCCTGGACAAAGATAGAGAGGGCGCAGAAGGGCAGGGTAGAAGAGGGACCGACTCACTGAACGCCTCTGCCATCTCCAGTGTATTACTGTTGCGTGTGATGTCATGCAGGCCAAAGGAAGAAAGAGTGTTTTTGAGATGTCTCGTAAACACTCTTTCTTCACAAGGTAGAAGAGGGACTGACTCACTGAATGCCTCTGCCATCTCCAGTGCATTACTGCTGCGTGTGACGTCATGCAGGCCAAATGACCCTGCCACTACGTCGAACGGAGCGAAGTGAGTGGCGGTGGGGCCGCCTGTGAGGTTGGGGGAGGAGCGCCAGTCGTCGAAGACAACAGTGTTTGACTCCAGGTGCGTGGCATAGGTGAGGTTGAAGCTGAACGCACGGCCGCCCCGCCGCACTGGACGCACGAGCACCCTGCTGCCGGACAAGGCAGCAGGGGAGGGGACGGCAAGGAGCATGTGGCAGGGAGGGGACGGCAAGGAGCATGTGGCAGGGAGGGGACGGCAAGGAGCATGTGGCAGGGAGGGGACGGCAAGGAGCATGTGGCAGGGAGGGGACGGCAAGGAGCATGTGGCAGGGAGGGGACGGCAAGGAGCATGTGGCAGGGAGGGGACGGCAAGGAGCATGTGGCAGGGAGGGGACGGCAAGGAGCATGTGGCAGGGAGGGGACGGCAAGGAGCATGTGGCAGGGAGGGGACGGCAAGGAGCATGTGGCAGGGAGGGGACAGCAAGGAGCATGTGGCAGGGAGGGGACGGCAAGGAGCATGTGGCAGGGAGGGGAAGGCAAGGAGCATGTGGCAGGGAGGGGACGGCAAGGAGCATGTGGCAGGGAGGGGACGGCAAGGAGCATGTGGCAGGGAGGGGACGGCAAGGAGCATGTGGCAGGGAGGGGACGGCAAGGAGCATGTGGCAGGGAGGGGACGGCAAGGAGCATGTGGCAGGGAGGGGACGGCAAGGAGCATGTGGCAGGGAGGGGACGGCAAGGAGCATGTGGCAGGGAGGGGACGGCAAGGAGCATGTGGCAGGGAGGGGACGGCAAGGAGCATGTGGCAGGGAGGGGACGGGAAGGAGCATGTGGCAGGGAGGGGACGGCAAGGAGCATGTGGCAGGGAGGGGACGGCAAGGAGCATGTGGCAGGGAGGGGACGGCAAGGAGCATGTGGCAGGGAGGGGACGGCAAGGAGCATGTGGCAGGGAGGGGACGGCAAGGAGCATGTGGCAGGGAGGGGACGGCAAGGAGCATGTGGCAGGGAGGGGACGGCAAGGAGCATGTGGCAGGGAGGGGACGGCAAGGAGCATGTGGCAGGGAGGGGACGGCAAGGAGCATGTGGCAGGGAGGGGACGGCAAGGAGCATGTGGCAGGGAGGGGACGGCAAGGAGCATGTGGCAGGGAGGGGACGGCAAGGAGCATGTGGCAGGGAGGGGACGGCAAGGAGCATGTGGCAGGGAGGGGACGGCAAGGAGCATGTGGCAGGGATGGGATGGCAAGGAGCATGTGGCAGGGAGGGGATGGCAAGGAGCATGTGGCAGGGAGGGGACGGCAAGGAGCATGTGGCAGGGAGGGGATGGCGAGGAGCATGTGGCAGGGAGGGGATGGCGAGGAGCATGTGGCAGGGAGGGGATGTGCGCAGCGTTTTGAGTCGTCTAAAAGCACTTCTTTTATCACGTGTGCGCAGCAGCAGAAGCTCCCTCAGAGGCACTCACTGCTGCAGGGCGAAGCCGCTCCAGAAGTGACCCCAGTAGGTGGTGCTGCCACAGGACGTGCTGTAGTTGAGAGCCAAGGCCATGCCTGTGCTGGGGTCCAGTGGTGGCCCCTCCTTCAGCACCACGTTCCACACCCGCACTTTGTGCACCGCCTGCAGATCGTTAGACGTATTCCAGCGAGCAGCAGTAAAGGAGAAAGTTTAGCAAAGGAGAAAACAGCTGTTTGTAGTAAAACCTAGCTAATTCGCGTAGGGTTATGTAACGACGAATCTCTTCACTAAGCCTGTGCTGGGGTCCAGTGGCGGCCCCTCCTTCAACACCACGTTCCTCACCCGCACCTTGTGCACCGCCTGCCACTCCGCGCCACCAGGCATGCCAACAGGAGACGACTTTTGAGGCGCCTAAGAAATTCAACACCACGTTCCTCACCCGCACTCGGTGCACCGCCTGCCACTCCGCGCCACCCGGCAGGCAGGCCAACAGGGTGAGTCAAGAGCAAGGTGACTTTTGAGTCGACTCAAAACGAGGTGAATTTTGAGTCGACTCAAAAGTCATCCAGTGGCGGCCCCTCCTTCAGCACCACGTTCCTCACCCGCACTTTGTGCACCGCCTGCCACTCGTCTCGTCACCAGGCAGGCCAAGAGGGTGAGTCAAGAGCACCCATAACGTGAAGATGCATGGAAAGTTGAGAGCGGGAGAGGAGTGGGATGAGATCTGAACATCGTTAGCAGATCACCCAGAAGTTTCCATTTGTGGCTGAAAAACATGAGCACATCGAACAGTTTCTTCACCCTGACCTGCCCGCACCACCTCACCCTGGGCTGGCTGTGGTAGCGCTTGAGGTAGTGGCAGCGCGTGCGGTAGTGTAGAAACATCTGCAGGTGGCCAAACAGGTAACGCATCTCCGAGTCCCCTGCACAGCACACGTGCAGCAAGGTGAGTTTTGAGTCGACTCAAAATCAGAAGTCAGCGCGTGCGGTGGTGCAGGAACACCTGCAGGTTGAAATCACTTTCGAAATTTCTCAAAAGTGATTTCAACAGTGCAGGAACACCGGCAGGTTGCCAAACAGGTAGCGCATCTCCGAGTCCCCTGCACACGTGCAGCAAGGTGACTTCTGAGTCGACTCAAAAGTCAGCGCGTGCGGTAGTGCAGAAACATCTGCAGGTGGCCAAACAGGTAGTGCATCTGCGAGTCCCCTGCACACGTGCAGCAGCAGGGTTTTATGCTCATCGAGTTTATCATGTCCCTGCGCACAGCCCGGTGCCGTGGCCGTGGCAGACTTGAGTGGCACGTCACGAGTGGCGCGTCACGAGTGAGTGGCGCGTCACGAGTGCATCCACACCCACACTCGCCACTGCACAGATGTGAACTCATGCATGCACGTGCGTGGATGCATGGGTGCATGGGTGCAGGACACGGGTAGATGCCTATGGCTTTCCCACAGCCAGCTGCATGGAGGCTCTGTGCATGACATGACATGACATGGAGCAGGGCACAGCAGGTGGGGGCGGGCAGGAGGCGAGACCTAGAATGAGCACGCTCTTGCCGTGCAGGCAGCGCCCGATGCGTGCGGGCGACTTTTGAGACATCTCAATTGAAAGCACAGAGGTGAGCTTTGAGGCGCCTCAAAACTCACAGCAGGTGGGGGTGGGAAGGAAACGAGACCTAGAATGAGGACGCTCTTGCCGTGTAGGCAGCGCCCGATGCGTGCGGGCGTGATGCGGGCAGGCAGGCGGCAGGCCGTGGGGTGCCACGTGTTCCCTCGCCAGAAGCCCGCATGCCGTGACTCGCGCAACAGGCTGAACGTGCACCGCGGCAGGCTCTGGTCACTGCCACGCCACACACACACAGAGCAGGGAGGGGCGGGCGGGTGTGGGCCCGTGTGGGGTGGGAAATGAGTACCCATCGTGTTTTGAGTCGACTCAAAACAGACTGAATGTGCACCGCGGCAGGCTATGCTCGCTGCCACGCCGCACACACACAGCAGGGAGGGAGGGGCGGGTGTGGGCCCGTGTGGGGTGGGAAATGAGTACCCATCGTGTTTTGAGTCGACTCAAAACAGACTGAATGTGCACCGCGGCAGGCTATGCTCGCTGCCACGCCGCACACACACAGCAGGGAGGGAGGGGCGGGTGTGGGCCCGTGTGGGGTGGGAAATGAGTACCCATCGTGTTTTGAGTCGACTCAAAACAGACTGAATGTGCACCGCGGCAGGCTATGCTCGCTGCCACGCCGCACACACACAGCAGGGAGGGAGGGGCGGGTGTGGGCCTGTGTGGGGTGGGAAATGAGTACCCATCGTGTTTTGAGTCGACTCAAAACAGACTGAATGTGCACCGCGGCAGGCTATGCTCGCTGCCACGCCGCACACACACAGCAGGGAGGGAGGGGCGGGTGTGGGCCCGTGTGGGGTGGGAAATGAGTACCCATCGTGTTTTGAGTCGACTCAAAACAGACTGAATGTGCACCGCGGCAGGCTATGCTCGCTGCCACGCCGCACACACACAGCAGGGAGGGAGGGGCGGGTGTGGGCCCGTGTGGGGTGGGAACTGAGTACCCACCGAGTGTGCATGTGCGGATGACGAAAGAGGGCATACTCAGAGGCGGGATGGACGGACGAAGGGCAGTGGGGTGGGTGGAGAGAGAAAGGTTTCTCAGAATGCAGAATGCTTGATGGGCAGCAATGCAGGGACACGAAGAAAGACTTTTGAGTCGACTCAAAAGTGGGGTGGGTGGAGAGAGAAAGGTTGAAGGGCGAAAATGCAGAATGATTGGATGGCAGGAATGCAGGGACACAAAGAAAACACCCGCCACAAGCAACGCAGCGCACCTCATTTGAGTCGAATCTGTCCCATTCTCCAAAGCATGGAGGGCGGTGGCGGCAGCAATGGTGATGTTGCGTTGAGCTACGACCTTGGACCTGCGAGGTGCAGCAGTGATTTTTTAGGTGCCTCAAAATCAACAAAGGTGATGTTGCGTGGAGCCGCGACCTTGGACCTGCGAGGTGCAGCAGTGGACAGCACAGCACAGTTGCAAGAGGGCGGGCGTGCGCAGCACAGGCGGTTCAAGGCACAGCAGGGCATGGGGAGGAGAGGAGAGGGCGGGCACAGGGCAGGCAGCGGCACCTCAAGAAGCCGGATGCGAGTTTGGCTTTTGAGTTTGACTTTTGAGTTTGACTTTTGAGTTTGACTTTTGAGTTTGACTTTTGAGTGACACCCCAAACTCAAAAGGCAGTGGCACCTAGAGAAGCCGAAGGCGATTTTGACTTTTGAGTCGACTAAAAAGGCAGAAGCACCTCAAGAAGCCGGAGGCGAGTTTGGGGTTGACGGCCTGGCGCAGCACAAGTGGTTCAAGGCACAGCCGCGCATGGGGAGGAGAGGAGAGGGCGGGCGCAGGGCAGGCAGGCAGCAGCGGCACCTCAAGAAGCCGGAGGCGAGGTTGGGGTTGACGGCCTGGCGCAGCAGGAAGGCGTTGGTCCATGGCAGCACCACCTCCACCTCGTACTCCCCACCGCGCTGCACCGTGTAGCACACCTGCTCGTGGCCCCACACGATAGCACACACAGAGAGAGGCTGATGGGCGCACGTGTTGGTGGGTGATCATTGATCAGGAGCAAATGGCAGGGCGCAGCAGCAAACGGGTTTTGAGGCGCCTCAAAAGCCCCACATATGCGCACACAGAGGGTGATGAGCGCACGTGTTGGGTGATCATTGATCAGGAGCGAGTGGCAGGGCGCAGCCGCAAACGGGTGAGTATGTTTTTTCAGCACACCTGCTTGCTCGTGGCCCCACATGATAGCACACAGAGAGGTTGATGGGTGCACGTGGTGGGTGATCAAGAGCGAGTGGCAGGGCGCAGCAGCAAACGGGTGAGCGTGCGCCGTGAAAGAGAGAGGGTGCCCTGTGAAAGAGAGAGAGTGCGCTGTGAAAGAGAGAGGGTGCGCTGTGAAAGAGAGAGGGTGCGCTGTTAAAGAGAGAGGGTGCGCTGTGAAAGAGAGAGAGTGCGCTGTGAAAGAGAGAGGGTGCGCTGTGAAAGAGAGAGAGAGCCCTGTGAAAGAGAGAGGGTGCGCTGTGAAAGAGAGAGAGTGCCCTGTGAAAGAGAGAGGGTGCGCTCTGAAAGAGAGAGGGTGCGCTGTGAAAGAGAGAGGGTGCGCTGTGAAAGAGAGAGGGTGCGCTGTGAAAGAGAGAGGGTGCGCTGTGAAAGAGAGAGAGTGCCCTGTGAAAGAGAGAGGGTGCGCTGTGAAAGAGAGAGAGTGCGCTGTGAAAGAGAGAGAGTGCGCTGTGAAAGAGAGAGGGTGCGCTGTGAAAGAGAGAGAGTGCCCTGTGAAAGAGAGAGGGTGCGCTGTGAAAGAGAGAGAGTGTGCTGTGAAAGAGAGAGGGTGCGCTGTGAAAGAGAGAGGGTGCGCTGTGAAAGAGAGAGGGTGCGCTGTGAAAGAGAGAGGGTGCGCTGTGAAAGAGAGAGAGTGCCCTGTGAAAGAGAGAGGGTGCGCTGTGAAAGAGAGAGAGTGCGCTGTGAAAGAGAGAGAGTGCGCTGTGAAAGAGAGAGGGTGCGCTGTGAAAGAGAGAGAGTGCCCTGTGAAAGAGAGAGGGTGCGCTGTGAAAGAGAGAGAGTGTGCTGTGAAAGAGAGAGGGTGCGCTGTGAAAGAGAGAGAGTGCGCGAGAGAGGGTGCGCTGTGAAAGAGAGAGAGTGTGCTGTGAAAGAGAGAGGGTGCGCTGTGAAAGAGAGAGAGTGTGCTGTGAAAGAGAGAGAGTGCGCTGTGAAAGAGAGAGAGTGTGCTGTGAAAGAGAGAGGGTGCGCTGTGAAAGAGAGAGAGTGCGCTCTGAAAGAGAGAGGGTGCGCTGTGAAAGAGAGAGAGTGCCCTGTGAAAGAGAGAGAGTGCGCGAGAGAGGGTGCGCTGTGAAAGAGAGAGAGTGTGCTGTGAAAGAGAGAGGGTGCGCTGTGAAAGAGAGAGAGTGTGCTGTGAAAGAGAGAGAGTGCGCTGTGGAAGAGAGAGAGTGTGCTGTGAAAGAGAGAGGGTGCGCTGTGAAAGAGAGAGAGTGTGCTGTGAAAGAGAGAGAGTGAGCTGTGAAAGAGAGAGAGTGCGCTGTGAAAGAGAGAGAGTGCGCTGTGAAAGAGAGAGAGTGCGCTGTGAAAGAGAGAGAGTGCGCTGTAAAAGAGAGAGGGTGCGCTGTGAAAGAGAGAGAGTGTGCTGTGAAAGAGAGAGAGTGCGCTGTGAAAGAGAGAGAGTGTGCTGCGAAAGAGAGAGGGTGCGCTGTGAAAGAGAGAGAGTGCGCTGTAAAAGAGAGAGGGTGCGCTGTGAAAGAGAGAGAGTGCGCTGTGAAAGAGAGAGGGTGCGCTGTGAAAGAGAGAGAGAGTGCCCTGTGAAAGAGAGAGGGTGCGCTGTGAAAGAGAAAGAGTGTGCTGTGAAAGAGAGAGAGTGCGCTGTGAAAGAGAGGGAGTGCGCTGTGAAAGAGAGAGAGTGCGCTGTGAAAGAGAGAGAGTGCGCTGTGAAAGAGAGAGAGTGTGCTGTGAAAGAGAGAGAGTGTGCTGTGAAAGAGAGAGGGTGCGCTGTGAAAGAGAGAGAGTGCGCTGTGAAAGAGAGAGGGTGCGCTGTGAAAGAGAGAGAGTGTGCTGTGAAAGAGAGAGGGTGTACCATTCCTGGCATGGCATTGCGCGAATGGCACTGCACACACCACACACGTAGTTTGCAGTAGGAGCGTGTGGGCCCTCTTTCCTCACCTCTCACCACCATTCCTCACCATGGGCTTGAAGTGTGGGCTTGAATGTGATAAATTATGCTGGTGCGTGGGTGTACCGTGCACGGTGTGATAAGTGGAGTTTTGAGTCGACTCAAAACTCGACTTATAAATTATGCTGGTGCGTGGGTGCACCGTGCACGGACGAGAGCAAGAATGCGGAAATGCAGAGGCGGCAAGGGCAGGTGGGGCACGGCACGGCAGCAGGGGTGGGTGGTGGGAGGGGAGCGCCCACCTGGTGAGCGTGAGAGCTGTACTCGGGCTGCTACCGCACTCGCGGCACCTTATGCGGCGCCCCAAAAGGGTGGGTGTGCCTGGGGGATGGTGGGGGGAGCGCGGCGCCCACCTGGTGCGAGCTGGACTCGGGCAGCTACTGCACTCGCGGCACCTTTTGAGGCGCCTCAAAAGTCGGCAGCAGGGGTGGGTGGGGGGAGCGCACTTTTGAGGCGACTCAAAAGTCGGCAGCCGGGGTGGGTGGGGGGAGGGGAGCGCCCACCTGGTGCGAGCTGGACTCGGGCAGGTACTGCACTCGCGGCGCCTCTTGAGGCGCCTCATTAGTGGTGGGTGGAGGGAGGGGAGGGGAGGGTGGGGGGAGGGGAGGGGTGGGTGGGGGAAGGGGAGCGCCCACCTGGTGCAAGCTGGACTCGGGCAGGTACTGCACTCGCGGCGCCTCTTGAGGCGCCTCATTAGTGGTGGGTGGGGGGAGGGAGGGGAGGGTGGGGGGAGGGGAGGGGTGGGTGGGGGAAGGGGAGCGCCCACCTGGTGCAAGCTGGACTCGGGCAGGTACTGCACTCGCGGCGCCTCTTGAGGCGCCTCATTAGTGGTGGGTGGGGGGAGGGGAGGGGAGGGTGGGGGGAGGGGAGGGGTGGGTGGGGGAAGGGGAGCGCCCACCTGGTGCAAGCTGGACTCGGGCAGGTACTGCACTCGCGGCGCCTCTTGAGGCGCCTCATTAGTGGTGGGTGGGGGGAGGGGAGGGGAGGGTGGGGGGAGGGGAGGGGTGGGTGGGGGAAGGGGAGCGCCCACCTGGTGCAAGCTGGACTCGGGCAGGTACTGCACTCGCGGCGCCTCTTGAGGCGCCTCATTAGTGGTGGGTGGGGGGAGGGGAGGGGAGGGTGGGGGGAGGGGAGGGGTGGGTGGGGGAAGGGGAGCGCCCACCTGGTGCAAGCTGGACTCGGGCAGGTACTGCACTCGCGGCGCCTCTTGAGGCGCCTCATTAGTGGTGGGTGGGGGAAGGGAAGGGGAGGGTGGGGGGAGGGGAGGGGTGGGTGGGGGAAGGGGAGCGCCCACCTGGTGCAAGCTGGACTCGGGCAGGTACTGCACTCGCGGCGCCTCTTGAGGCGCCTCATTAGTGGTGGGTGGGGGGAGGGGAGGGGAGGGTGGGGGGAGGGGAGGGGTGGGTGGGGGAAGGGGAGCGCCCACCTGGTGCAAGCTGGACTCGGGCAGGTACTGCACTCGCGGCGCCTCTTGAGGCGCCTCATTAGTGGTGGGTGGGGGGAGGGGAGGGGAGGGTGGGGGGAGGGGAGGGGTGGGTGGGGGAAGGGGAGCGCCCACCTGGTGCAAGCTGGACTCGGGCAGGTACTGCACTCGCGGCGCCTCTTGAGGCGCCTCATTAGTGGTGGGTGGGGGGAGGGGAGGGGAGGGTGGGGGGAGGGGAGGGGTGGGTGGGGGAAGGGGAGCGCCCACCTGGTGCAAGCTGGACTCGGGCAGGTACTGCACTCGCGGCGCCTCTTGAGGCGCCTCATTAGTGGTGGGTGGGGGGAGGGGAGGGGAGGGTGGGGGGAGGGGAGGGGTGGATGGGGGAAGGGGAGCGCCCACCTGGTGCAAGCTGGACTCGGGCAGGTACTGCACTCGCGGCGCCTGCACTTCTTTAGCCATGCTGCTGGCCTCGTCCCCGTCCCTAGCGGAAACGCGGCGGCGCATGCTGACCACGAAGAACGCGCGCTGTCTGCCTGACCCACGCGCGCACGACCCACGCACGCACGCAGCACGGCACGGCAAGGCGAGACATGCAGGAGAAGGTGGGTTGGCTTTTGATTCAACTCAAAAGAACGCGCGCTGCCTGCCCGCCCCGTACCGCGCACGCACGCACGCACGCAGCACAGCCCACACGCGCATGCACGCACGCAACACGGCCCACGCACGCACACACGCAGCACAGCACAGACCACGCACGCACACAGCATGGCACGGCAAGGCGAGAGGGTCAGTTGGCATGAGGTGGACATCATCTCCCCCAGGCACAGCATCCCCCAGGCACAGCATCCCCCAGGCACAGCATCCCCCAGGCACAGCATCCCCCAGGCACAGCATCCCCCAGGCACAGCATCCCCCAGGCACAGCATCCCCCAGGCACAGCATCCCCCAGGCACAGCATCCCCCAGGCACAGCATCCCCCACGCACACCATCCCCCAGGCACAGCATCCCCCAGGCACAGCATCCCCCAGGCACACCATCCCCCACGCACACCATCTGTCACCCGCCGCACAGCCGCCACTAGCGGCGAGGGTTTGCGTGCATGGGCCAGAGCACGAATAGGGAAGGAAGGTTCCTGCACGAATGATAGGGAGGTTTGCGTGCATGGGCCAGGTACGACGTTGATAAGCGAGGTTAGTCGTACCTGCTTTTGAGTCGACTCAAAAGCGAATGATAGGGAGGTTTGCGTGCATGGGCCAGGTACGACGTTGATAGACGAGGTGAGTCGTACCTGCTTTTGAGTCGACTCAAAAGCGAATGATAGGGAGGTTTGCGTGCATGGGGCCAGGTACGACGTTGATAGGCGAGGTGAGTCGTACCTGCAACCAACGTCGAATCGCCCGCCTCGGACATCGAAAGCTGCACGGCGCGCACAGCACAAGCGGGTGGGCAACATGGCATGTGCGTCAGATCACGAGCGGCGAGCGTCACATCAGCGAGTTCGCGCAGCGCTGAGAGAGCGACGAGAGTGCTTTTGAGGCGCCTCTAAAGGAGAGTGCTTTTAAGGCGCCACACGAGCGGCAAGCTTCAGATCAGCGAGTTCGCGCAGCGCTGAGAGAGCGACGAGAGTGGAAGGGCGTTGAAAGCGGGAACGACACTCTAGTCGTTCCGCGCCGGAAGAAACGGGACCAGTGGTCGCTGTGGAATTGAAACGCCGTGGTCGCTGTGGCCGCACGCACCTTGCATTTGAAAGCACGCGTGCTGGAAAGCCGTGGCGCCATCCCACCCGTCGCCGCTGATGTTGACGTGCGAGAACTCGGCGAGATCTGAATCTTCTGCACGCGTGTCAGCGTAAGCGCCCGCTTGACTGCAGATACTGTTGGGGTCGAACGAGGAAAGGGAGGCTGACGGGGAAGACGCGCTGGGTGATTTTAAATCGATCCGGGAAGTACTACTAGTAGAAGCGACAGTGGAAGTAGAAGCGACGGCGGAGCTTGAGACGCAGACGAGGAGAGAGAGGTATGAGAGCGCGATTCGACGAGGGAGAGCCATGGCATCGCAGTCGTACCAGCAGCAAGAGATCACCTCCTAAAGAATATAAGTTGACGGGTCTGCCATTAGTTCATCTCTCATTCTCGTGGAAACCCATTCTCTGCCGCCTCACAGCCAACCATCGCTGTCTTCACAACAACTATCGCTGCCTCAATACCAACCCCCGTCGCGAAATTCCATCGGCGAATCAGTTGAATCAACCCGCTCCCAATCGCCATGAAGGCATGTGCATAGTACTACTTTGAACACTGCCGGCGACGAAAGTTCCCAAATAACTGCTGTGCGCAAAAAAGTGTCAAGTAGGACAATGCCGGCCTATAGAGTCTCACACACATGATTTCACAAAGATATTTAGTCTCCACTTCCTACACGTCAAATCATTTAGCTAACTCATGATAGCTAAATTATCCGCTCACGTTGAATCAACCCGCTCATAACCCGCGATAATTCATTTGCACCGCACGTAACTCGTTGCACTCGTGGCCGAATTGTCGCTCGCCACACCCGTCGCTCGCCGCCCCTTCGCCCATCGCCCATCGCCCATCGCTCATCGCCCATCGCTTGTCGTTCGTTTGCATAATCAGTTCTTTTGGCGCATCGGCGCGTGAGCGGGCGACAACCTGTGTGTTGGAACAATTGTACAGCTCATGTGCTAGCAGCAGCATGCTACATAGCGTGCTAGGATGCTAAGAGGGTATCAGGTACATGAGGCAGCCCACAAGCTCTAAATACGGGCCACTCGGCTCTACGGACTCATCCGAAGGCAGAGCTGAGAGCGAGTGACCAGTAGGCAGAGGAGTGGGCTGAGGCGAGGAGTACGTGAAGCGGAAGCGCTGAAGGACCTGCTGCACCATGTGTGACTGAGTCAAGGTGATGGTGCGCTGTGCTCTGTCTCGGGTGATCCGCAAGCCAAGATAGCTTGTCAGCTCACCCAGGTCAGTGCACGTGTGTCTCTTCTGCAGCTCCGACTTCACGTGGGCGAGTGCCTCAGTGTCAGCAGTAGCAAAGACCAAGTCGTCTACGTACACGAGAACGTAGAACGGCGGCAGAGTGGTGTCGGTGCGTAGAAACAGCGACGGGTCAGCAGTAGAAGGAGCAAACCCAAGAGCAGCAAGAGTAGTCCTCAGTGTGTCGTGCCACTCACGGGGTGCCTGGCGGAGACCGTAGACTGGCCGCCGGAGGCTCCACTGGGTACCAGCAGGGAACGACCCAGTGAAGCCAGGTGGGCGGCGCAGCCAGATCTCCTCGTGCAGGCTGCCCTGTAGGAAAGCAGTGCTGAAGTCAAGAGAGTGGAGCTCGTAGTCACGCTGAGCGGCGACGTGCAGCAGAACCCGAAGAGTGGTCATCTTCGGGGTCGGGGAGAAGGTCTGGAAGAAGTCAACTCCCTCTCGCTGACTGAAGCCTCGTGCAACGTAACGCGCCTTGAAGACAGGCGGAGAACCCGGCGGCCGCTTCACCCTGAAGATCCACATGCCACTGACGATGTTCGCCCCAGGTGGGGGAACCTCGTCGACGTAGGTGCCTGTGGACTTCCAGGAAGCCATCTCTGCGTCCATGGCTGTCTGCCACTGAGAGGAGTAGGGACCCTCTATCGCCTCTGCGTAAGAGCGCGGGGTCGGGATGTCTGGTGCATCCGGGTCTCCCTCAGGGGCAATCAGCATGGACACGAGATGAGGTAAAGCAGCGGCAAAGCACTCAAACTCCTCCTGTCTGTCCTCAAGGACGTCCGTGCCAAGAGCACACTCACCCCCGACGGACGGAAGACAGACAGACTCAGACTCAGCAACAAGGCTAGCGGCGTAGTCTAGACGACAGGCGGCAGCAAAGTCAACAAGCTCAGCAACTAGAGCAGACGCAGCAGTGGACTCAAAGGAAGGGTCAGTGACAACAGTAGCGAGAAGACGCGTGACAGTAGGACTGGCAGCACGAGCAAGGTCTGACGGCGGGTCAGCAACGTCAGGAAGAGAGGACGCAGGAGGAGACGGCAGAGGGACACGCTGTGGAGCAGTGGAAGGACGCAGAGTCATATAGTGAGTGCCAAGAACAGGAGGAGGACGCTGACGCGGAGCACGACGACCAGCGCGGACAGCGCGGACAGACGACTCTGGACGAGACTCAGGCGACGCAGGACGAGACTCAGGCTCACGACGCTCCGTAAGACCTCTAGTCCGCCCAGCGTAAGGAGAAGGACCAGGCAGCGGAGAGGCAAGCGGTAACTGTGACTGCGACTGGACAGGTGGTGGACTCAGTAGGGGAGGAGACGGACCAGTGGAGGGCGGGAGGCCAAGAACCTGCTGAAGGAGCGGAACGTAGTACGGCCGCGGCCGCTCAGCACCTCCTGAACCAGTAGAGACAGCACCAGCACCCTCAGCCCCAGGGTCTCCAGCGACAACTCCCGCAGCACCACCAGTAACCCCAGCAGCTCCAGTACCTCCAGCTCCAACCCCCGCAGCAGCTCCAGTCCCAGCAGCTCCAGTACCTCCAGTACGAGCACCTCCAGAACCAGCGGCTCCAGCAGCTCCAGCACCAGCAGGACCTCCAGTAGCTCCAGCACCAGCAGCACCTCCAGCAGCACCTGCACCAGCAGCACCTCCAGCAGCACCAGCAGCGCCTCCAGCAGCTCCAGCACCAGCAGCACCTCCAGCACCAGCAGTGCCTCCAGCAGCTCCAGCACCAGCAGCACCACCAGCAGCACCACCAGCAGATCCTGCACCAGCAGCAGCTCCAGCTCCAGGGTCCGCTGCACCAGCAGCAGCTCCAGCTCCAGGGTCCAAAGCACCAGTAGCGCCACTCCGGAGACTGCAGCGCCGAGCGTACCACTCTCGGAGCCGCTGGGGAGAGAGCGCACCAGCAGTGCCTCCAGCAGCTCCAGCACCAGGAGCGTCTCCAGCAGCTCCAGCTCCAGCAGCACCTCCAGCAGCACCACCAGCAGCTCCTGCGCCAGCAGCACCAGCACCAGCACCAGCTCCAGGGTCCGCGGCACCAGCAGCGGCTCCAGGTCCAGGGTCGGCGGCACCAGCAGCACCACTCCGGAGACTGCAGCGCCGAGCGTACCACTCTCGGAGCCGCTGGGGAGAGGGCGGCTCCCGCCTAGGCGGGGAACCAGGAGCACCAGCTCCAGCAGCACCCCTAGCCCCAGAAGCGCCCCTCCTGAGGCTGCAGTACCGCGAGTACCACTCACGCAACTGCTGGGAAGAGGGAGCGCCTCCAGGCGCAGCACGGTCAGTCGCAGCACCCCCAGGCTCAGTACCCTCAGACGTAGCACTCTCAGGCTCAGCACCCCCAGACTCAGCACCCGCAGGCTCAGCACCCCCAGACTCCGCACGCTCAGGCTCAGCACCCCCAGGCTCCGCACCCCCAGGCTCAGCACCCCCAGGCTCCGCACCCCCAGGCTCAGCACCCCTAGTAGGACGAGAGTCGACAGCTACCTCGACAGGCTCAACCGGGTCTACCT